GCTGGTGGTTTCGAACTGGTGACCTTAAGGTTCGCAGCCCGATTCGTAACCACTACGCTACTAGAGCTCCTTATACATGTATAGATATAAAAGTTCGATTTCTATTTAGAATCCTAAATGTTTGAAATATTGTAGCTTTCTAGAACTGAACTCGGGATCCACTGAAACTAGAACAGGCCCGGTAGCCCTTTCTTTTCTGTTTTGTATTTGTCAGCTTGGAAGCCAAATGGGGCAATGGGCTGGGTTACTTTATCCTGACTGATCAAGCATTGTGTTTTGGGGCCGCTTATCACCTTCACCCCAGTGGGACCATCCTACAACCATTTAATTATTCAATGCTCCAAACAAGATCGCCCAAATCAGATAAGCTGGTGTCCATCGTAGGATACTGGTAGCTCCTGGCCTCTGTTTCCCAGCTGTCTGGCAGAACCTCACCATAGCAATGGCTACCCCTCCCCATTGAGAGCTCGGGGACACTCACGCGATGATGTTGAAGCAGTCCTTGTTGGACAGTTGCTCCTCCAGCAGTAGCCGCAGTGAGTGCTGGATATGAATAATGTACATGGAATTCGTCACGGAGGTATCGAGCAGTATAACCACCCTACAGAGAAACACAAGCTTTACAAAGAGAATCGAATCTCTTAGATAATGTTTATTTTGTTCCGTTTTACTATTTAAAGTGTTTTCCAGGGGGATTTTTTTGCATGCCAAATTCACAGGCGGCCAAAATCTTCTCCACAGTTTGAGGTCAGCAGAGGGGTTTACAATAGTTGACTCAGAGGGGTTGTGAAGCCTTGTCTTCCGGGAAGTTCCGTAATGGAATCAAGTCCGATGGGGGAGATGGTTTAAGGGGCAGGGAATGATTTTTATGTTTTAAAGTACTAGCACTTGTTATCATTATGGCTTGAGGTGTTTGTAGGGAAATCAGAAACAAAGCAAACAAATAATAAGGGGAAAAGGTTTATCTAGGCTTCTTGGGAAATATTTGTATCTTTCCCTCACCCCCTTCTCTCTTGTTTTAAGATGTCTAGCCCCATTTTGCCTTCTCCTTCTTTCATTCTTTAACTACTTTAAATCTTACAAAACCCCCATCTTCATCAATTTTCATTTTCAGACAGTGATAGACAGCAAAAAACAAAACCAAAAACTCCTCTGAATTAATTTGGAGCCACAAGGCCTTGGTTCAAGTACCACTTCCTACTAGTTGTGTGGTTTTAGGCAAGTCTTCAAACCTTGCTGAACTTTTATTGTTGTTCTAAGTGCCTTTGAGTCGGCCCCAATTCCGAGTGACCCTGTATAGGGTTTCCAAGGAGCAGCTGGTGGGTTTGAATGGCCAACCTTATGGTTCGAAGTCCAGTGCTGTTCCTACAGTGCCAGTTTATTAATTACGAGTTATATATAATATATGTGGCACCACAGGGTAAGCACTTGACCTCAAGGTTGGTTTGAACCACAAGGTCAGTGGTTCAAATTCATCAGCTGCTCCCCAGAAACCTCACAGTGTCACTATGAGTTGGAACTGACTCGGTGGCACTTAATAACAAAAACATATACAAAATGCTCAAAGTTTGCTTGAAAATAAGATCAGCAAAGAAGGAAATTGAGCTGGAAAATGACCAAAGATAAGTTCATGACATACATGAATGTCAGAAGACAACTGTCAAATCTGTCCTAGAATTTTCATTTACCTGAGCCAAAAGCCCCTGTTTTGCTTCAGCCAATTTGCATTTAATTTCTGTCATTTTGTAAAAGAAAGGATGCTGAATGGACACATCAGTGGTATTACTAATGATGAGGATGGTGGTAACTTCTTTCTCCTTCAGGGGATTCTACTGAATGATTGCTGTGGCGCTGTGGGTTAATGTTCTGGACTGCAAAGTTGACAGTTCAAGCCCACCAGCTGCTCCTCAGAAACCCTATGCAGGGTTGCTATGGGTCAGACCAACTCGACGGCACTTAACAACAACAACAACAATCTAATTGGGACCAGTTCAGCATCATAGCAACATGCAAGCCTCCGGTGTCTGAGAGACACCCTCTGTGCATGAAGTGGCTGGGCTGGAATCAAACCTAGGTGGAAACTGAGAATTTGATCACTGAATCACCAATGCCCAGTTTGTAGTGGAGCTTCCAGACTAAAATGGACTGGGAGAAAGACCGGGCAATCTGCTTCTGAAAAACAGTCAATGAAAATCCTACGATCATAATGGTCCAATAGACAGCCAATCACAGGCATGGTACAGGGCTGGGCAGCGTGTCATTCTGTTCTGCAAAGGATAACCACAATCTGGGGCCAACTTGGTGGCAACTCACAACAATACTATCTAAGTGACAGCTTCTGATACTACCTGTGGAGAAGAGATGAACTGCCTGGGTGCTGTTTCACACACCAGACCCATGAAGGAAGGGCACTGCTTGGGGAAAGTACCTTTTCTCACACACGGTGCCCCAGATTCTTCTGCTGGCCAGGGAGAGCCACTCGATCCGCCTTTCATACATCCGCATAGCTCTGTTGAGCTGTTTCTGCAAACCCATGAGCCATACACTGAGTGCCTGCTCAAAGATGGCTAATTAAGGGCTCTGTGGGGGGAAGAGTATAGACCCCAGATGGCTCAGGGCCACGGATACCCAGGAAATATAAACATTCGTCCAAATCATGGGAGAGTCTGCCACAAGATCAGATAAGAGTTAAAATATCTCATTGTCTCCAATAGGGGAGACGGGAGATATTACCCCAAATGATTAGGAATGTTTGAGGTGTCCTGGTGTTGAGAGGAACCCTGGTGGTGCCATGGATTAAGCACTGGGATGTTAATCAAAAGGTCAGTGGTTCAAATCTACCAGCCGCTGTGTGGGAGACACTTGAGGCAGTGTGATTTCCTAAAGATTCACAGCCTCAGAAACCCTCTGGAGTAGCTGTATTCTGTCCTACAAGCTTGCCCTGAGTCAGAACCAACAAACAGCAGTGGACAGGACTTGATTTGGTCCCTGACCAGAAAGCAAGGTGTATCCAAGAATCCCTGTGGGGAGAGTACACCAGCTCTGTTTATAAGAGGGATTTCAGCCAATGACTTGGTGTTTTCACATCCCACAGTGCCTTCTTCCCAACCCTCCTTCCTGCACCCTTATCCTGACTGACTCAATCCATCACTGACCTGGTACTCATAGAGGAAGGGCGGGTCCACGTGAACATTCTTCACTGTCCCATCATGCCACTCAAATTGTACCATTGCCTTCTGTACTCCAACATGGGCAAGGACGAGGAGACGAACAGAAACAGATGTAGTGGGAAGGAGATAAAAGTTTAATTTGGGCACTGGCTCCCAAATCAGAGGGGAATGGGTTATAACCACACCAGTAGTGAGACCAACTCCTACCAAACTATTATCTTGTCTTGGGCTAGCAGCAGAGAGCCTACGGAATAGTGGTCCCATGCTGACAGGAAGTCAGGTTGCCTTCTCAGAAGGCTCTTTTGAACCTCTGAGGCCTCCTTACAAGAGACATTTGGAGAGTTTGGGTAACAGACAGCAGTGTCAGAGATGTGAAAACATACTGGCCATGAGTTCTTAGGTTTGGGAGCCCAGTTAGACCTTCATGGGCACTTTGAAATTCCTATTTGTTAATTCTATTATTTCATCTTTCAACAAACCATCATGCCATCTTTCTAATACTTTATCCACCCGTTCACCACCCACCCATTGTGCCACTGTGAAAACCATACATCCTTCACTCCTTCCGTGTCCTTTCATTCTTTCTTCCCACAGTTCTTTCCACTCACCGATTCTTCCTTCCATTTCTCCACCCTTCCACTCTCACTTTAAATTTTACTTCCATCCTTCCATCTAGCCTTTGTTCCATTCCTGTCATCCATTTTCATTTCTCCTTCTATACTCCACCTATTCACATTTTATCCACGTATCCATTCATTTATCTATATTACCATTCATGCATCTATCTCTTCCTCTTTTCACTCTTCTTTCTGTCCTTCCTTCCATCTACACACCCACTTATCCAACTAGTAAACATTAACTGACTGCTTGATTGTCAATTGTTGGAGATAGACAGTTAGAGAAGAGATTCTCTTAAAGGAGTCATACAGTCTGGTAGGGACTCAGACATGGAAAAGCGCATGCATACCAGTGTTACAAGGAGTTTTACAAAGCACAGTCAGGATACCACAGGGAGAAAGTCTGCTCTGAGTAGGGTGGAGGGAAACTTTCATGAAGGAGGTGACCCTTGTATCCAATCTACTCCATCTTGTCCCATCTCCCAAACTGCATTTTTAGGTCTTTAAAAAACAGTAGTACCAGTTGCTTGGAATAGATCTTAAGAGTTCCAACAAGTCTGCAGGTTGTCCCATTCTCCTTGGTCTCCACCTTCTTAATCTTATTGCCTGAACATTTGAGTAAACGGGAAATACCACAAAGGAATTCTGCTGAAGAAGTCTGGAGAGAAATGTTGTGTCCTTTTTGAATTACCTCATGGACGGTCGATGAGACCGTTTTCTGAAGAATAGGCACAAATTCTTCCACGGGAGAGAATGCGTTGGGGGCCAGGACCTGATAAAGGTTTAACTTCTTAGCTGTAAAAATAATGGGGTTTGAGGCACTCTTAACAAAGCCCCAAGCGATTCATGCTTTTTAATTTTATCTGGGTTCTGCTATCTTTAGGGATTCATTTACCTTTTAAACCATTGATCTTTAGCCATTCTGCAGAACTCTTATCCAAGTTTGGAAACTCAATTGTGAGGGGGCCCTCATGCTTTGGGGGTTTAGGCAAGAGACTTGTCAGTGGCTCTTTTGCAATCTCTGTAGAAATCTAAAATGAAATTAAATCAGATGGTGTAAATTTATGTTTGAGCTGGAATGTCTTCAACTTCCCACCCAGCTCCAACACACACACACACTCTCCCCCCAATTGGAACATCTAATTAAATATTACCTGTTCAATGACAGCCCGTTCTACCTTCCCTTCCCACCATCCTTATCCTCTTCTCTGAGATTTCTGGAAGTTCTCCTTCTTCTCCATCCTTAACCATTGAGATCAGCACCACAGACCCCAAAGTTTCAGAGAACTAAAAGTAGTTTCTACACGAAATCATTAAAGGAGTTCTGCTCTAGCCCAGATTCTTTCCCTTTGTGAAAAATGAAAACAAATCAACAAAAAACCCGAGGCTTTGAGAGGTTAAATGACGTAGCTAATGTACAAGCGCAAACATTAGCAAAGCACAGAGCAGCCAGTCCCAGACTTCATGAACTGTGCTTTATCTGCGCAGTAAGTTAAGCTTGTAAGGTCAGTGGTTCAAACCCACCAGCAGTTCCAAGGAACAAAGATGAGGCTGTCAGCTCTTGTAAAGATTTACAGTCTCAGATTCCTTAAGATACTCTTGTCCTGTACAATTGCTGTGAGTCAGAATCAAACATTTGGCAGTGGTTTTGGTTTGGAGTACCACTTGTTTACTTAGCTTTAAAAAAAAAAACAAAAAAAAAACCATGAAACATTTGTTGTTAAGTATTGACGTATCGGTTCCGACTCGACCCTATAGAACACAGGAGAACCGACCCATCGGCATGCCAAGACTCTCGTCTACGGAAGCCGACTGCGGAGGAGAACCGTCCATAGGCATTCCAAGACTGTAATCTACGGAAGCCGACTGCGGAGGAGAACCGTCCATCGGCATTCCAAGACT